GCCAAAAGCGAGAACTATTTGCATGTCCATCCGGATGAGTGGATAGCAAACAAATACCCCTCCAACCAGATACCACCACCCCAAACGGCTGAGGGATGCCACAGGGCACCATGGGCAGCCTGCACATGTGTTCAGTGCAGGGAGCCAATCACACAAGGCCATGTGTCATGATCACTCTGCGAAGTGTCCAGAAGCAGCAAATCCATAGTGGTTGTAGGGGCTGGGGGGGTTGTCAGGGGCTGGAGGGTGCCTGCTGTCATTTCCTGTAATACCAACAGTAATGACAGAACCCCTTTGTGCTGACTTTGTCACAAGACATCTTCACATGTTTAAAAACAGCTTTGAGGGATACTTTACATACCATGTAATTTACCTGTTTTACAAATAGAGTTCAGTGGTTTTAGTAAGTCCCTGGAGTTGCACAGCCATCGCCAGAGTACATCTCTATCATGTCAGAGGGATCCCATCCCCCATATCACCACTTATTGTCAAGCTTTCTGTCTTGGCTCCCATGTCCTGCTGTGTTAATCAACTCCAGGAAGAAAGGTGAATCTGTTGGGGGATTTATTAATCCCCATTCCAGCCCAGGCCACCACCTTGGTGTTTGGCTGGTAGATCAGAGGCCTCTGCTGGTGCTCTGATGAGAGGAGCAGACAGGCCCCCTGCAGGTGCTCTTGTGGGCAGTCAGTTGGCCCCCAGCAGGGAAGTGTGCCCGTGTCCCCACAGCGGCCTGTCGGCTCCTTCCTAACCCGCCTCAGTGCTTGTGCTGGCTTGGTTTCCCTGTGCTTGGCACACATGGCCCCTTTGGGACGGATCCATAGCAGGAAGGTGCCCAGAGCCTTGCAGATGCTGGGCGTGGTTTGGGCTCTGAAGAAAACTATCCAGGGTCTATATGCATGTCTCCTATCCCTCCTCATGGGCCTCCCACCCAACAAGAACAGCAGCTGACATCAGCAGAGTGCCCCTGGCTTAGCTGGCGTCAAGCGATGTCATGCACAAGCATGACCTGGTACACCCAGCTGTCAGATGGGCGCCATTGCTGAGGGTTAGAGAGGCTGTGGGGATCACTCTGCGGATGGCTGGCAAAGGCTGGAGGAGAGGGGCTCTTTCCTGCTCGGTAGACAGAGAGTGTCAGATCCTGCTCCAGCACATGGGGGCCCAGTGTGCACAGGCCTCACAGTGAATGCCACCCCATAACATAGACTCATAGCTCCCCTGCGGAAGTGTCTCCTTGTTTGACCTCGGAAGTCTGGGGAACACCAAGGAACCTTGGTGGCAGGCCCCATGCCTGTGCTGTTGTGCATACAGGCCTCAGCCGGTCACCCTGATGTATGTCCTGATCCAGGACTCATTGTCACGGGCCACCTTTCTGTGATAGCCCTGTCTGGCCCTAAGTCCCACAGGGTGACAGGCCTTCATGGCAGCTGCTGGCTTTATGAGATTGAGTCAGTGTCAGCAGCCCCTCTTAGGTCCTCTGAGCCTTTTACCTCTTCAGGTGCCTTTACTTGCAGGACCGTACAACCTGGACTGCCAGGATGTTCACCTGCATGTTCACTGGCAGGGTTGGCTTGACAACTGGCGAGTGGCAAGGATGCCCAGGCAGCCCGGGCTCGGTGGGGAGCTGGGAGCACCCAAGGAGGAGGCAGCAGACCCCTGTGGGCTCTGTCCTTAGCACGGCAGCGTCTGTGTGTGTGCGTGCATCCGTGCAGAGTAGCTCCTGGTGGGATGTTCCCTCTGCTTCTGCTGGGGTGTGTTTGTGAAAGCAGAATTTGCTTGCCATCTGAAAGTACGTGGGTTCTGGACCAGAGTGCCTAAAGGAATTGCTTCCAAAGAGAAGGCCTACTACTTATCCTGGTTGCTGGGGAGCATACCACAGGTCCCACTTCCTGTGCTCTTCAACTGGAACGGGGGCAAAAGCCACAAGAGAGGGCATCGAGTCTGTCCCTTAGCGTGACCTACTGGACTGCGCTGGCTGTCCAGCCTTTGGAAGCCTCCTCTCTGCCATGAGCAAAGTCCCACTGCTCTTGCCAGGCAGCCCGGCTCTCTCAGGGGTGGTGGCCCTGGAGAGAGGAAGCCCATCTGGCCACTGGACAGAGCCCCACAGTATGGCTTCAGGGTTGGAAAGTGGGGTTAATTCGGAGGGTGGCTCTCAGTCACATATTGTCTTGCTGACGCCTAACAGCTCAGCACTGTCTGTCTGGAAGCATCTGTGTGTTGGCATCTCATTTCAGAGGCTAACAATGCTGATGGCAGGCAGCCGGGATGTCCCTGTGTGAGACGGGCATAATGTCCACAAGAGGGAAGGAAGTGCCCAGGTTTTTAAGTGACTGGTTTGAGGAGTTCTGGCAAATGCATACACCTGTGTAACCAACACCCCAGCCAAGATACGGGATGTCTCCATCATTCTAGAAAGCTCTCTTGTGGCCCCCTCCCTGTTTCACCCCTACTCCATGTGTGGTCTCATATGCTTTCTGCCAGGGTCCCTGTTCCTGTCCCAGAATCTGTGTGAGCTGGTCCCAGAGTGGGCACTTGGATTCGGAGCTTTGCAGCTCCCCCCTGTGCCACGCTGCGGGCCAGTTTGCTTAGCTCATCACCTGCTGGCAGAGAAATGGGTCAAATCTACTTTGGGGATGATGTGGTTATCCTCGAATGTGTGGAGTTTTCTTCTGATATGTACAGAACTTGAGGCAAGCAGATGCAGCCAGTCAGGCAGATTTACCATTAAATTGAGAAAGCCCCCAGATTCTCTACCTGACTTCAAACTCAAGAACTTGACATGTAATTCAACTTAATTTGCCCCGATTTAACCTTTGTCAAGGGCTTTTTATAAATAAGGAACAAATATTTGATTCCTTAACTTATCTGCCACAATTAGCAATATATCCAATTTCCCACAATAAATTTTATAATGTAAATGAAGTAAACCCATTACTCACCTTTTGGAATTGTAAGTAATGGATGGTGCATGGCAAGGTAGATGAGTTTTTGTGGATTAACAAAAATATTAAGATGTGTTGATAGCAAAATTAATGTCTTCGGAATGTAAATTTTGAAAAACTTAAAACATCTTGCAAACTCTTTGGAAGAAATACAGGACTGGTTGATTAAAAAATAGTAGGATTGAGTTCACAACCTATCTTGGCTTTTTCCAAATAGCTCCTCTTTCTTCTCTGAGTAGCTCAAAATTTTTAACATTCTTTTTGCGACACTCAAAAGTAAGGGAAACACAGGCGATGTTGGGGTCATCCAAGGTGACCTTAGCCCAGGTCTGTGGATGAACAGGTGTTGAATAGGAAGTCAGCACTGGGGCGCATGGGGCTGGTGGCAGAATGAAGTCTGTGGGCTTACTCCTGGGGAAGATCCAGGAATGCAGCGTAAGCAGTGGGAGGGCCTCAGAGGGGAGGAGGGTTTGCAGTGACCAGGCTAGCCCAGGACCATGCTCCACCAGGGAGAGCTGGCCTGCTTTCAGCATGTTCACCTGCAGAGTTAGGTGTCAGGACAGGGGCAGGCAGAAGAACACAGGACTTCCCCAGTAGGCCCCTCCCAGGCAGGCCCTCAGGGACACCAGAAACTGGTCAGTTGTCAACCAAAGCCTTTGAGATACTGAAAAAGAAGGGATTTTAGGCCCCTCTGGGAAGAACAGTGGGGCTGAGGGACCAGGCAGCAGAGACCGTGTGCTGCTTGGATCTGTGACTTCAGGATTTACCCCTTTCCTGTCCTGATGCAGAGAGCAGAGAGGGTAAGCAAGGAAAGGGGTCTTTTTATTTTAAACATACCACCAGCATCGCAAGCCACCCCACCTGCCAGTTCCCGTGTCCCCTGGTGATCCAGGAGCCAGGCTGTGCATGGGGCCCCGTGACTACAGCACAAGCTAAACCACGGTGGCATGAGCAAGTCTTATGTCTGCCGTGCCAGGCTTGTGCCGCAGCCCCTCAGCAGCACCTGGGTTTCCACATGGGGTCACAGCCACGGGAACCAGGCCGTGCAGCCCTGACCTCATGCCTTAGGGACAGACTGTCTGCAGGGCAATGTGCTCAAGGAGGGTCCAGCCTGAGGCTTGCAGGATTTGAAGGGCACTCCTGGCACCTGACCTGGAGCAGCCGTGTGGAAAGTAGAAGCCGCACATTTGCCAGCAGAGGCTGCCCAGGTGTGCTCTGACCCAGCCTGCAGTTTGCTGGCAAGGGAGCCGGCAGGCTCCATGGAACCATCCCGCGGAGTGTTTTCTTGGTTCTGTAGAGGCTGACTCTTAACTCGGTCACACTGTGTGCGGGGTGACATGTTCTGCAGGTGGTAACATAGTGGCAACTAACTTAGGCTGTATCTCAAGAGACTCTGGCCAAACCAGTGACTTCCCTTGTAGAGTACCACAGAAAGAGCCCTCCATTTCCCTGGGGCCAGAAGTGTCAGAATTCAGTTCTCAGGTGGTCAGAGTGAATGGGTCAGTGTATCTGATATGGGGCTGATACCCAAAATACGCTTAGAACCCTGACAGCAGCAAAGAATCTGGTCACAAAGGGCAGAGGGTCTGAGCAAACACTCCCACAGAAGACACACAGAGGCCAGCATGCGTGTGAAAAGGGGCTCCATGCCATAGTCATCGGGGCATGCAGATCAGAGCCACGGTGAGGTCCCTCACACCAGCCAGGGTGCAGCTATCAGCAAGACAAAGGGTCGGTGTTGGCGAGGACGTGGGGAAAGGGGCCCTGTACACTGCTGGTGTGTAGCCACCGCAGGGAGCAAGTGTGGGGACACCTCAGAAAGCTGAGGGAAAAACCCTAATGATCCAGCAATTCCACTTCTGGGTATTTATCTGAAGGAAATACAGCCACAGACTCTTATAACAACAGGTACACCCCCATGTTGGCTACAGCATTATTCACAATAGCCAAGATACAAAGCAACCTAAGTGCTATATCATCAGTGGCTAGCTGGTGAAGATGTGGTACACGTACACAATGGAATATTAGCCTGAGTCAGAATGAAACCCTGCCATTTACAACAAGGGTGTGGACCTAGAGGGTGTACAGTGGGTGAGATCTGCCAGACAGAGAAACATACTGAATGATCTCAGTGTAGAATCTCAACAAGAAAACACGGTCATGGACCAGGGAACAGACTGGTGGTTGCCGGGGGTGCAGGGAAACAGGGAAAGGGGATCAAAGGTAAAAAGAAAAATATAGTACATTGCTGAGCAACAACAAAACAGCAATTTTTTTCAGATGCACAAACCTAAGAACAGGATGAGAGCTACCAGATCACCAGTTCCAGGTCAAGTATTTTCCTCTTCAACCGAGTATTATAAGGAGACTCACATTGAGAATAAGCTGTATTTAAGGGATGTCCAAGCTCACACTCTCCCTTCAGCAAACACCGTGTGCTGGTCTGTGCCTGGCGTCTGCATGCCTTGTATATGGCAGGCCATGGCGGGTGGGGCAGCACCCCTAATCACACCTCTCTTCCAAAAAATACCTCAGACCACTTCACACTTGCCATACTTGAAAAGTAATCTGTTTTTAAAGGGTCTGGGGACAGGAGTTGCTGGCCTGTAACTGAACCATAAGGCATGGGGTGGGGGCAAGCGGGTGGCTCGGCCCATTTCCACAGGTGAAGGGGATGTTTGCAGCAGGAGGAGCAGTGGAAGGATTGGGTGTTTGGGCTCTGCCCCCCCTGGGGCTGCCGTCCAGCTCACACCAGCTACTGCCCCACTGAGCAGGCCAGTCAGTAGGGAGCTGATGGTTGCAAGAGGGCGTTTTTGCCTGGGGGGGCCCTGGGGCCAGACACGGCCCCCCCCCCTTCCCTGGCAGCCCCTCCAGGTTCTATGTCAGGTGAGATGTCCCAACGGCAGTTGTCTTCAGTTTATTTATATTCTCTGGTTTTGTGTGCACTTTAGGAAGTTAATTTAGGACAGAGCCATACTGCAAAAGGCCAACTGGTGTCACCTGGGAGGGGAGTAGATAAGGAGAGAGCCAACCTCTGTGCCACTTCACTGCTCCTTGCTTCAAACCTGCCACGCTGACTGTCCTCTCTCTGAAGCACTTAAGCTCTGCAGCCTCAGCCCGCATGCCTGCATCTACCACGCGCACACTCAGCACCCTCCCGCCCACCTGCTACGTGTGCTCTGGGTGCCACTCCTTCATTTCAGTACTTTTCTAACACTTGTGACTCTTCTACCAAATGTCTCTTTTTATAAACAAAAATAAAATAAGGTGGGAATCAAGTATTTTAACAATGCAGAGTATAAATACTGGCTTTAAATTTTCATTGCTTCATTAGAAAGTCTGGTGTTGAAAGTCCGTGGGTGGTCTAGGGTGTGGACCTGACTGGTGTGTGTGCAGGGAAGACCTATGCACACAGAGGGGCTGACACGTGTCTGCACACCCCACACAGCATGGCCTTGGCCTGATGGTGGTCTTTTTTGGAGAAACACAGACAACTGCAGGAGAACATGTCACCGCCTCCTGCTCAGTGCATCTCCTGGGAGAGCTGGGAGCATGTGAGGGACAAGGTGCAATACGTCCACTGCAGTCACTTGCCTCACCTACCAGGTGGTGAGCCCCAGCCTCAGGCTTGACCGCAGAACTTCCCCCAGGGTGTGCGCCCCCAGACACTTCTGCCAGCCAGCTGAAGCAGGTGGTAATGGCACCTGCAGGGCCGGCACTCAGGCCTCTATGCCGTCACCTGCTGTAGAGCCGCCTGGTTAGGGGGACAGCTCTGATGCCCACAGTGCATTTTCTTCACCAGCCGCCGGAGTTTGCTAGGGAATTCCCTGTTGATGTGGCGGTAGAGCAGCGGCATTGCAGAGCTGCTGGAAAAGGCCAGGAGTCGGGACAAGTCCTTGGCGAAGAGCAGTGTCCCCAAGGCATGCCCATCAATGGGCTTCCCCCTCGAGGTGAGGATCGTGTGCCCCAGGAGGGTCAGGTAGTGAGGTGTCCAGAGCCCAAACTGCATGCACACGGTGGCCACCAGAAGTCTGTGCACTGAGGGGTCCAGCCTCCCTGCATCCTGGTCGAGGGGCGTGTCCTCCTTCTGGATCCGAGAGATGAGCACGAGAGCATAGAGCATGGCCACGGTGGGCACTAGGTACCCGATGAACACCATGATGGCATCTGCAGCCTCCGTGTCCTGCATCTTGGAACATTCGGCAATCCTGGCGGCAACATGGCTGCAGATGTAGAAGAGCAGGGAGGAGAAGCTGGTGAGCAGGGCCCCACCCCAGATGAAGCCGCACACATGCCTGGTGTTGTAGACGCTGGACATGTAGGTGCGTGGCAGAGCACGCTCAATGTAGCAGTCCAGGCTGAGCAGGGCCGTGGAGTACATGGTCACCAGGGAGGCCACATTGAACAGCACCAGCACTGTGATGTGGGCCTCGCTGCTAAAGCCCCACAGGGCCCACGCAGAGGCTGTGGGGCCCAGCAGGTGCATGGGTGCCAGGATGCTGAGAACCAGGCCTGCCATGGCCATGTTCACAAAGTAGACGTCGGGCATGGTCATGCTGCTCTGTTCATGCAGGTTTGCCAGAACCAGCAGGGCGTTGCAGCCCAAGCCAACCGGGACACCAACAGCCAGATAGAGCAGGGAGAAGGCGGACAGGACCAGGTGGAGGTGCTGGCAGAGTTGCTGGCCCTCACCCCCGGCTGTGCCATTGAGCAGGCTGCAGCTCCACATGGTGGGGGCTCGGCAGGGCTGTGGGAAAAGGCAGCAGAAAGTTAGTTGTTTCCTCGGTCTGAGCCTTGGGCCTGTAGATCCTTCCAAAGTGCGGAGTGGCCAGGAGGAGAGCCCTGCTCCTTCTCCAGTGCAGGGCAGACAGGCACTGCCGGCCTTTCCAGGAAAGACCCTGCCCTGAGCTTGTTTCTGCCGAGGCCCATTTGCCATCACTAGACCTGAGCTAGCCTTGTGCCAGCACGGTACTGTGGCTGCAGTAACCTTCACAGCCACATGGGGCCACCCTGACCTGGGAAATTTATCCAGGATGCCCTGGGGCTGTGATCTGGCCAGAAGCCCTCAGGGTGGGACCCGGGGAGGCCAGCCTGGAGTCCAGAGAGGACTGTAGTCCTGACTCTCCTGTTCCCACTATGCTGGCCCCCCAGCCGTCCTCAGTTTCAGCTTCTTTACTGAAAGGTGTTACTAGAAAGGCAAACCGCCCACAGGCAGGCAGGTCAGCCCCCAGGGCTCCTGTGCAGTAACTGGGGGGTTGTGACGTACTCCCAGGCTTTTCTGGGACAGGTAGCCCCTCGGCCGTGTCAGAAAGACCTTGGTGGAGGGAGGGGTGGGCCTGGGGCCTGGGCCATCTTGGTGTGAACTCTGCCTTTCTGCCAAGGGGACAGGTCAGAGCCCTCCAGCACACATTCCTGTCTCTCTGCATCCACCTAGGCCCTTCCTAGTGAGTGTAAGGGGACTCTCTCTGCCCCACCCTCGGCACCTATATCTGGTGGCTAGAAACCTGCCCTGTTGCTCCTACCAGCTGGTAGCACCAGAACTCTGGCCCACCAGCTTCCTGGGCAGGTATGTGACTGCTACATGGTGCTCTGTATCCTGTACTGAGCTGGGAGAGCAGGAAGTTTGTGTCTGGGGAGGCTGGGGACCCCACCTTTTGAAGAGCTGCTCTTCTGTGAGCTGTGTGGCCCTCGGGTCTGGAAACCTGAGGAGCCAGGTGTATGTGGGACACCCAGGGCCTCATCCTCCCCAGGAGTGGACAAGCTCTGGGAGCTCCAACCCTGCCACCCAGCCCCTCCCTCCCCATCCCGGCCTTGAGTGGGCAGCTGTCCGTTGCCGTAGCATGTGGGATGCTGGTCCATGGCTAGTGTAAGGAATCAGTGAGATTCGCAGGTGGAGCCATGATGTAAAGAAGGAACAGAGGTTCTTGAGCAGTGTAACCATTCTTTGGGGAAAACCTTATGTTCACCCAAATGCAGTTTGGCACACCCAGCTCTCTCAGAACAAGGAAAGAAAACTTGTCAGGCAAGCACAAAAGCAGACGTTTGCTTCCCAGGCTTGGGGCACAGTGAGGAGCCAGCTCTGGTGGTGCTGTCTCTGAGTAGGAGGAAGCCTGGTGTGGGAGAGGCGTGGTCATCTGTGATCTGTGTGAAGTCAGCTTGTCCCTCATACCTGCAACAAACTCACCCTCTGCCATGTGCTGGCCAATACATTGGGTCGGGACTCATAATGAAGGAAAGGAAGGGACGTTGGATGCCCCATGCCAGGGTGTGGCTGCCTGAGTCTACAGCACCTGACCATGAGGCAGTGGCACGTGAATTCCTGTCCAGACGGAGGCCACGGAGCAGGCAGGAATGTTCTGCAGTCCTAATGAATGCCATCCAGCAGCCTGAGACGATTTGTGGCCAGTGGAAAGATGCTCAGTCAGGCCAGCGTGGGTGAAGCCTGCCTGTCTCTGCCCATACATGCTGTCGTGTCACTTTCAGAAGGTAATATCACCCATAGCACTGACACTGGTCTTTGAAGCCACAGAGCTCCTCAGCCTCTGGCCCTGGTGGGGTGCTCTGTACCCCAGGGGCAAGGTCCAGGGTGGGGGCAGGTGGCCTGCTACAGAACACCCTCGGGTCCAGTGTGAGCCCCTCCTTGGTACTGGTTCTACGGGAAGCTGTGGTCTCTAGTCAGCTGGGCAATGGTCCCTATTGTATCATCACTTAGCTGACTGAAACAGCTCTTTCCTTTTCTCCTGCCTGTCCGTCCCCAGTACCTCCGGTTGCAGGTGTGTGAATGCTGACTTCCCTCCCATGTGTCCTGCCTGCTGAGCTGTGGCTTTGGTAGTAAAGTGGAGTCCACAGCTGTGGAGCTTGTCTTTCTGCTGACCTCAGTGGCCTCGAGTCCCCAGGGACCCCTATGCATTCTCGCGGCCATTGCAGAGGTGTCTCACCCTGGAGCATTTCCCCCTGACCTGGCCTGCATTCCATCCAAGGCCCCTTAATGTCTGCCCATAATATCCCCAGCCATTCCTATTCCCAAGCGTGTTCATATAGGGACAAGAGAGAAGGAAGGCCCTCCACAATCCTCAGGACAGGTGCTGAACCGCCAGTCACCTTCCAGTGAGAAAGGCCAGCCATATGGTCTGCACCACTGCCAGGCAGGCTGGGTTCCCAGGAGGCCCCGCTCTGGGTCCCACAAGCCTGATCACTCTGCCAGCTTCCCTGCAGGCAGCATTCAGCTCTATGGTCCCACCTGGCCCAGTTTCCTCCCTGGTCTAGCTACCAGCAGCCCCTTACCTCATGGCACCCTGTTTCTCTGCCCACACTGCAGACCCTGTCAGCATGCAGCCTACATGCAGGTGCCACCAGAACCCCAGAGAGTCCGAGTTTCTCTGGACATCCTGGGGTCCTGATCAGCTGCCCGCACAGCATGGGTTTCCTGTGCGTGTGTGAGCTCACTGCTGCCCCCGTGGAAGAACACCAGTTGTTTCACCTCCAGTGAGTTACAAGTTTCTGCCTCTCCTGGCAGGCTCAGCGGCGCCTCCCTATCTCTGTTTACAGCCAGTTTCAAGAAACTCGGGGTTATTCCTGGGGGGGCCATTGGTAGGTCCTACCAGACGGGCGCTCCCTCCCTCCCACTGGCTCAAGAGAGGGCTGCGCCCGGGGCCTGGGTTTCCCCTCTCCTGCTGGCACCCCACCTGGCAAGGCTTTGATACTTGGGGTGGAAGGCGGCACCTCGGGTTCCTTGTTTTCCTTGAGGAAGTCAGCCATGCAGATGCCCATGTGCTGAAGCTGCGGACGAAGCAGGGGTCTTGGCCGGGCCTGCTGGACGGTGGCGAGGCTGTGCTCACTGCAGCACCAGCACCCAGGGTGCTTTGCAGGATGAGCAGTGTGTCCTGATAGGGCTGCAGGGTGTGGCATTGCACGTGAAAGGTTCTGGCAGCCGCAGGGCCGGTGCATCTGGGCGGCCTGTTGCTCTCCACCTGGGTCCCTGGCCACGGCTGCCGAGCCTGTGCCCACACTGACCCCCAGGGAAGCGTGGGCACCCTGGCATGCAGTCGACGTGTTCTCGGGAAACCACTGTGCCGAGTAAACTGCGTAGAATCCCTTCCTGGCCCATGTGCTTGTCTGGCCTGTCTCGCGCTGGCTAGCCGGCCATGTGTGTTTGAATCGGCCCTAACACGTGGAAGAGGACAAGGTGGCTGCCGGCACTGGGTTTCGATTAAAAATGGACCTGACTTTGACTTACTGACAGCTTATAAAAACAGAATTTATAAAACTCTGTGTCATAAGGTGGGGCTGGCATCTGTGTGTGGCTTTCTCCCAGGTCTGAGAGGAGAACTACAATTTCCAGGGCAGATTGCAGGCCTGAAGCCCCTGTGTCCAGGCAGCCAGCAGTAACACCCATTGCTCTCTTGCTCTGGTGTTCTTGCCGGGGTGCCAGCATCCCCAAGTGTCAGAGGTCTTGGGAGCTCGTGGTACTACTGGATGGGGCTGCACCCTTTACAAATACGGCATCCAGCTGGCATTTCCTAAAGTCGGGTGTGTTCAGTCTTGTCCATGTGAGCTTGCAGGGTGAGAGGCAAGGAGGCATGGGCCAGGGACAGGCCAGGGACACCACTGCATGGAGAGGATGTGTTACTGGAACACAGCCCTGCCTGCTCCAGGCCGGCTCCTTGCCTTTCCAGCTGGGTGCTGCTGAGGTGGAGCCTGCTTTGCCTGCCTCAGGCTGTCAGGTGCAGCACCGATGAACAAGGAGTTGGCAGGCGTGCTCTGCACTGGGGCTCAGCCTGCTGGCCACCAGTGCCAGTGCATCTGTTGAGTGCAGTGGTGGTGTGGGTAGCCAGTGAAAGCATATCTGGCTGGGAGGTGTATTGCTACCAGGGTTCACAGTAGTGGTGACAGGACTGCTTCACCCTGGGCATCTGCTCAGCGGGGAGCAGGCCTGAGGGTGGGCTGTGCCCTGGGCTGGAAGCTGCTGGTTCTCTCATCACAACTTAGGTGTCTAAAGTGCATGGGCAGGACGCCCTGCCCTGTCCAGGTGCCAGTTGCTCCTGCAGGATGGCCACTGCCTGTCGCTCTGCACCCATGACCCGGGCAGCCCTGGGCACAGGCCCTGCCCGCATACTTACTGTTTCCTTGTGTTAACTCCTGGGCTTCTGTCCACTCTGGTTTTGCAAGTCTAGGAACCTGGGAACTGCCTGAGGCCGTATGGGGAAGAGGTGGGCCTGAGAACAGTGGTTTGGCTCCCACCCTCACGTTAGCTGAGCTCTGTTCCTTCCTTCCAGGAAGGCCCTTTGTGCTCAGAGATGGCAGCCCCTGGCTGGGGGCTGGGCCCATTTTCTCCAGCACCACCATGGCTGGCTGTGTGCGGAGCACTCTGCGTCCTGCCAGGGTTCATTTTGAGAGCTGCCGCATTCTCCCCATGTGGCGGGATTCGTAATCTGACTTCCAGGAGCCCCTCAGCCAAAGGGGTCGTTGGCAGAGCCTCTGCCCTCACACCACTGCTCTGCTGCCTTGTGCTGGCTGGCCTGGCCACCCCTTTCCCATTCTCGCCATGCCACCCCCACGATCCCTGCAGGAGGGGCACCCACTGGCAGTGTCTGCCCAGGCCCTTGTCACACCCACAGCAGTGGCTTTGCTGACAGCCACTTCATTGGATGAGACACCAGGGCTGTCCTTATCCCCCATCCTCCCGCCTTTCCTGCAGGGCTGCACCCAGGATCCCTCCGTGACCCCCGCTTCTGCCAGCCCAACTGT